TATAGAAAGGGGTTTAATTATAGGTAATACGTATTTTAAGAAAACGAGGATAAATAAGTATACAAGATATGATGTAGGGCGAAAGGATAGTTTGCTGGACTAAGTATTAGTAGATAAAAGACTGTTGAGTAGACTTCAAGATGTACATGTTTAAAGAGGGGCCACAAATATATCAGATCACTTTTTAGTTGTAGCTACACTGAGAGTAAAAGGTAGATGAGATACAAGGAAAACAGAAGCAGCAAGTAAGAGAGAGGTGAAGGTGTATAAACTATAAGAGGAGGCAGTTACGGTAAGATATAAACAACTATTGGAGGATAGATGGGCTAGTGAAAGTATAGGCAATGGGATCAAAGATGTATGGGGTAGGTTTAAGAGAGCAGTGTCAGTGTGTTCAGAAGAAGATTGTGGTTGCAGGAAAGTGGGTGCGGGAGGGAAGAGGGGCGATTGGTGGAATGATGTAGAGTAGTAGGAGAGTAAAAGTTAGGACATGAGGGTTTTTTACAAAGTAGAAGTGATGCAAGGAGGGAAGAGTATATGGAGAGAAAAAGAGAAGTTAAGAGAGTAGTGAAGCAATATAAAAAGAGAGCAAATGAGAGTGCGTGAGATGTTATCAACAAATTTTGTTGAAAATAAGAAAAAGTTTTGAAGTGAGATTAATAAGTTGAGGAAGCCTAGAGAACAAATGGATTTGATAGATAAAAAATAGGAGAGGAGTTATTAAATGGAGAGTTAGAGGCATCGGGAAGATGGAGGGAATATTTTGAGGAATTGTTAAATGTTGATGAAGATAGGGAAGCTGTGATTTCGTGTATAGGGCAAGGAGGAATAACATCTTGTAGGAGTGAGGAAGAGCCAGTTGTGAGTGTGGGGGTAGTGCGTGAGGCAGTGGGTAGAATGAAAGGGGGTAAGGCAGCTGGGATTGATGGGATAAAGATAGAAATGGTAAAAGCAGGTGGGAATATAGTTTTGGAGTGGTTGGCGTTATTATTTAATAAATGTATGGAAGAGGGTAAGGTACCTAGGGACTGGCAGAGAGCATGCATAGTTCCTATGTATAAAGGCAACGAGGATAAAAGAGTGCAAAAATTATAGGGGACTAAGTCTGTGAGTATACCTGGTAAAGTGTATGGTAGAGTTATTATTGAAAGAATTATAAGCAAGACGGAGAGTAGGATAGCTGATGAACAAGGAGGCTTTAGGAAAGGTAGGGGGTGTGTGGACCAGGTGTTTACATATAGATGAACAGTATTAAGATAAGGCTAAAGAGGTTTTCGTGGCATTTACGGATTTGGAAAAGGCATATGACAGGGTGGATAGGGGGCAATGCGGCAGATGTTGCAGGTGTATGGTGTAGGGGGGTAGGTTACTGAAAGCAATGAAGAGTTTTTACGAGGATAGTGATGCTCAGGTTAGAATATGTAGGAGAGAGGGAGATTATTTCCCAGTAAAAGTAGGCCTTAGACAAGAATGTGTGATGTCACCGTGGTTGTTCAATATATTTATAGATGGGGTTGTAAGAGAAGTGAATGCGAGGGTCTTGGCAAGAGGTGTGGAGTTAAAAGATAAAGAATCAAACACAAAGTGGGAGTTGCCACAGTTACTTTTTGCTGATGACACTGTGCTTTTGGGAGATTCTAAAGAGAAGTTGCAGAGGTTGGTGGATGAACTTGGTACAGTATGTAAAAGAAGAAAATTAAAAGTGAATTTAGGAAAGAGTAAGGTGATGAGGATAAAAAGATTAGGTGGTGAAAGATTAGGTATCAGATTGGAGGGAGAGAGTATGGAGGAGGTGAATGTATTCAGATATTTGGGAGTGGACGTGTCAGCGGATGGGTCTATGAAGGATGAGGTGAATCATAGAACTGGTGAGGGGAAAAGGGCGAGTGTTGCACTTAGGAGTTTGTGGAGATAAAGAACTTTGTCCTTGGAGGCAAAGAGGGGAATGTATGAGAGTATAGTTATACCAACGCTCTTATATGGGTGTGAAGCATGGGTTGTGAATGTTGCAGCGAGGAGAAGGCTGGAGGTAGTGGAGATGTCCTCTCTGAGGGCAATGTGTGGTGTGAATATAATGCAGAGAATTCGTAGTTTGGAAATTAGGAGAAGGTGCAGGATTGCCAAAACTGTTATCCAGAGGGCTGAGGAGGGGTTGTTGAGGTGGTTCGGACATGTAGAGAAAATGGAACAAAACAGAATGACTTCGAGAGAGTATAAACCTGTAGCGGAGGGAAGGCGGGGTAGGGGTCGGCCTAAGAGAGGTTAGAGGGATTGGATAAAGGTGGTTTTGTGTGCGAGGGGCTTGGACTTCCAGCAAGCATGCGTGAGCGTGTTTGATAAGAGTGAATGGAGACAAATGGTTTTTAATACTTGACGTACTGTTGGAGTGTGAGCAAAGTAACATTTATGAAGGGATTCAGGGAAACCGGCAGGCCGGACTTGAGTCCTGGAGATGGGAAGTACAGTGTCTGCACTCTGAAGGAGGGGTGTTAATGTTGCAGTTTTATAACTGTAGTGTAAAGCACCTCTCTGCAAGACAGTGATGGAGTGAATGATGATGAAAATTTTTCTTTTTCGGGCCACCTTACCTTGGTGGGAATCGGTCAGTGTGTTAATAAAAAGAATAAAAAAATATATATACCCTCTATGTCCATGTATTGCTTGTAACGGCTTGACAAAGCTTCCGGAGAGTGAAAGGTTGCCACAAAAAAGTCACATTAGTTGCACTTGTGTCCTTTTTATCTAATATCCTCGTCACTTCATTAGGGACTGCAGGCACCGTGTATATAACTTCAACTCACACAGACAAAATACTGCAGAGAGGAGATCCGTAGTCCTCCCCCACCAACTCCGTTACTCAACACGTTTCCAACATCTTTTCCAATATTTGATTCCATGCATCTACCTCCACATCCACCACCATCAAATACATCACCAGTAAGAGACAGAACAAGAGTCAATCCTCTGCAGGTGTGTACATAATCCCTCCCAACTGGTGAAACTAATTATAGGTGGGCGAGAGCCAAACACCTCCAAACACGTATTTCAAAACACCAATACGCAGGCATAAAGGACGATTTAAGGAACGCCTGCGTTCTACGGCAAAGCTTCGACAACATTTAACCAAGTAGAGAGACTCAACATGACTCACGAAATCGTAATGACACGATTGCAAACAAACCATACCACTGGCGGAATTGAACCCGCGGTCCGTGAGTCTCAAAACTCCAGACCGTCGCGTTAGCCACTGGACCAGCTAGCCACAATAAAATTTGTCCAACTAGGTATATTTCTACACCATAGGAAGGTTAGCATAGGCACCACTGTGACCACAAATGCAAGTTTTTACAGACGAATCTCCAGCTAGCGTGGCCGTGACGAACTCTAGCTCAAGTCCCCTCAATGCTGTCAACATGACTCACGAAATCGTAATGACACGATTGCAAACAAACCATACCACGGACGGGATTGAACCCGCGGTCAGAGAGTCGCGTTAGCCACTGGTCCAGTGGCTAACGCGACGGTCTAGAGTTTTGAGACTCTCGGACCGCGGGCTCAATCCCGCCCGTGGTATGGTTTAGAGAGACTCAAGACTCATCGCCAGGGAAGACACTCAGTACAGCAGGATCTTAGAATCATCTCTTATCTGTTTATCTAACAATTTTAACCAGTTGAATTTATAACACAGCTGAACCCCTTGAGAGGAAACTTCTCCATCGTTATCCTACACAACATACGAACTCGCCTGTTCCGTGAAGTTGCGTCTCAAATCGCCTCCTAAGGGGGTCGGAGGATGGATTCTAGTAGGGAGGCTGCTCGAACCCAGAGGAAAAGTAAGGAATATGTTGGTTATTTTTCTCCTTTAAAAAACCCTTTTAGTTAAAAACAATCGATTTAAGAATAATAACTAATTTCACAATTTTCTATTTAAACAAAGAAGACTTTTTAATTTTTATATTTAGAGTTTTATATGAAGAAGGAAAGGGGGGGGGGGTTGTGGAGACGGGCATCAAGAATGATAGGGGGCGCCGCCCAAAATAGGTTAAGAACCATTGCTCTCGTTACGTGAAAATTATTTATTTAGTGAAACTGGCTATTAATTAAAATTTACAAAGCTCAAATTGAAATGCAAATTTTCTTGTAATAAAATCTATCAACACTGAAAAGTTTATCAGAAAAATCGTTTAGCAACAAATGCTCTGAATCCGAAACTGCAAGTTTAACTTCATTAAAGTTTCAAATTTGCATCAAAACAAAGTTTAAACTTCGAGTTGTCTTCCCCCTTGTGGAATATGTCAGAGTTAATATTTTGACTCCGATATTAGGCATTCTTTATTTATTGAATAAAAATCAATATAATCATTTAATAATTTTTGCAAATTGAATAATTTAGAGCTCATTAACAAACCTTGCTTTGTGGAAAACACACCAGGGTTGAAAATTTGAAGCCGATCAGGAGAGGCATTCTCCAGTTATCACTGGATTCTAATGATTCTAAATTCATTAATAAAATATTTATTTCACTGGCAGTTTCCAGTTCACAAAGTGTCATAGGTGAATCAGTTATTAAATCCTGAATCTTTTCAGAAGAGGTAAAGTCAAATATATTAATATGATTTAACCGGAATCAATATTTCACACAAATTTTTGCACATATTATTAGCAGATGTGCTCCTACGCACTTAAATTCCACTCTCCTCCGTTGACGAATCAGGAGGCACCTTCACCTATACCACGGATTATTGTGGAAGTTATCAGAGTTATTCCAAGCGGCTGGGAAAGGATCCTGCACTCTGGTCATAGTGAGCCTGCACTTGTGAATTGGTCCTAGAATTTGGGCATAGTTACCGTACATCAGATGAGCGCTTTTTGTATTTTGAGCAAAATAAGAAGGAAAATTGGCGGAAAAAATAAAAGGAAAAAATCTAGTAACTAGTCAATGGTCTCTCTTCTGTTCTTTATAAATAGGAATTTATTTTCTTTTGTCTTTACTAATGCAGGATCCTGAAGTTTGTGCTAACTACCGGTTTATGTGGGAGATCTTCCAGCCGATACTCTTTGCTTCAATTGGATCTGAAATTGATGTAAGACAATTATGTTTTGTTTCGTTAGTAAATTTGTTATGGAATGCCTTGACCCTGATCTTTATGTGATGAGCCGCTCAGTAGTGGCGGCACTCTGAGGAATGGGAGGCGTGGCAAGACAGGTGTTGAAGAACGCGTGACGTGGGGTAACCGATGGTGTTACATTGCATCAAGATATCAGTGATAGCTATCTTTGATAATATATCCTTTTCAAATAAAACATTCTTTTTTTAATTTTCCCATTTTTTTCTGAGCTGAAATTAGTGGTTTCTAGACTTTTCTATCTAAGCTGTACAGGATTTTTTCAGGTGCCTCCACAACATTATTATTTTATGTTCTCTTTAGTTTAATGTTTCATGAACAACTTCACAACATTTTACCATCCATGTATCAAACCACCATTATTAATCCTGAAAGTTTCTTTCTCTTGTTATTAATGGGATCTTCTGATGATGTACTTTTATGTAAATGTGACCAGCTTGTGTAAGTCTGAATCACAGTCAGGTGGTAAAGCACAACAACACCTCGGCTGTGGGGGCCAGCTCTCACGCTATTGCTTGGCTGAAATGAGCAATTAATAGAGCAGTAGGGGCCCTAAACTACTACATTTTTGAAGTGTCAGTTAGCTGGTCGAGTACGTTGCATTTTACATGCTCACTCGGCCAGCTAACTGGCACTTCAAAAATGTAGCAGTTTAGGGCCCCCATCTCTTGTCTATTCTGGAGTTCAGAACCAACTGTCATGAGTGGTTCTTTGCCCTCTGATTCATAAATTATTATACTTTTGGTTATTTAATTCAGTAAAAACTGTACGTGTCTTCAAGGGAATATACGAATATACGTGTGTTTACCCTTGCCTTTATTTGCTTGGGCTAATTATTGTCTCGAGATTGAGGATACAGATCTTGGAATTGCTTACCTGTGTTCGTAATAATAGTTATTCTTATATTCTGTCCGACATTAACACGTTACCTTCTATCCCTTTCTATCATCACCATTACAAGGGAATCATTTACAATTGCTTCAGTTATATTTATCGCATTATCCAAAGATTCGTAGTTATTTTTATTATTTTTTCCCAGGGACTTTTAAGCGTCGTAAATGATGAACAGCAGATTTCAAAGTTACAGCTTCATTGCACCTTTGGAATTTTCAACTATTTAATTTGGCTACTGAGGGTTCAAATCCACTTCGTTTAAAGTGTCCTCTTCCATATGTACATTCTACAAAGTTAGTTAAATCATTTAATCTCCTCTTTCCCCTCCATTTGGTTCATCGATCTGTCATTTTTGCGATTCTTGGTTCTGTACAGAATTTGCATTTATTTTATTTATTGAAACTGGATTTTAATTCTTTTATTTAAGTAGACGGAAGTACTAGTCTCAAGGATCAGTTAGGATCCAACCTAGATTTGAAACTACCCAAAGTCCTAGCCTCAATAACCCAACTAGGTAGACTGTTCCACTCATCAACTACCCTATTTCCAAACCAATACTTTCCTATGTCCTTTCTAAATCTAAACTTATCTAATTTAAATCCATTACTGCGGGTTCTCTCTTGGAGAGACATCCTCAAGACCTTGTTAATATCCTCTTTATTAATACCTATCTTCCACTTATACACTTCGATCAGGTCTCCCCTCATTCTTCGTCTAACAAGTGAATGTAACTTAAGAGTCTTCAATCTTTCTTCATAAGGAAGATTTCTAATGCCATGTATTAATTTAGTCATCCTACGCTGAATGTTTTCTAACGAATTTATGTCCATTCTGTAATATGGAGACCAGAATTGAGCTGCATAATCTAGGTGAGGCCTTACTAATGATGTATAAAGCTGCGGTATGACCTCTGGACTTCTGTTGCTTACACTTCTTGATATAAATCCCAGTAATCTATTTGCCTTATTACGTACGTTTAGGCATTGCTGTCTTGGTTGAAGTGCTAGGGTTATGGACACTCCCGAGCTTCAGAACCTTGCATTTATCTACATTGAACTGCATCTGCCACTTTTCTGACCATGAATAGAGTTTGTCTAAATCCTCCTGAAGTTCCCTAACATCTACGTTTGAATCAATTATCCTACCTATCTTTGTGTCATCGGCGAATTTGCTCATATCACTAGTAACACCCTCATCAAGGTCATTGATATATATTATAAACAACAACGGGCCCAAGACTGATCCCTGTGGAACCCCACTTGTTACAGATCCCCACTCGGATTTAACCCCATTTATGGACACTCTCTGCTTCCTGTCTGTGAGCCATGACTCGACCCACGAGAGCACTTTTCCCCCAATGCCATGAGCTGCCACTTTCTTTAACAGTCTTTGGTGCGGAACTCTATCAAAAGCCTTACTAAAATCTAAGTAAATAATATCAAATTCTTTATCGTGGTCAACAGCCTCAAAAGCTTTACTGAAGAAAGTTAATAAATTAGTTAGACAAGACCGGCCTCTTGTGAATCCATGCTGAGTATCATTAATCAAGCTTTGCTTATCGAGATGGCTTTTTATAATCTCAGCTATAATTGACTCTAGTAATTTGCCTACAATTGAGGTCAGGCTTATTGGGCGGTAATTTGACGGTAACGACTTGTCCCCTGTTTTAAAAATAGGAATTATGTTAGCCATCTTCCACATATCAGACACTACACCTGTTTGAAGAGATAAATTAAAAATATTAGTTAATGGTTCACAGAGTTCCATTTTGCATTCCTTAAGAACCCTTGAAAAAACCTCATCAGGACCCGGTGACTTATTTTGCTTCAGTCGGTCTATCTGCTTCACAACCATTTCACTAGTGACTGTGATGTTACATAATTTATCTTCTGGCCCACTATAGAAATTAATTACTGGAATGTTATTAGTGTCTTCCTGCGTAAAAACCGAGAGAAAATAATTATTTAAAATCGAGCACATTTCATTCTCTTTGTCACTAAGATGCCCATAGTTATTGTTAAGGGGACCTATCTTATCTCTGACTTTTGTTCTATATACCTGGAAAAAACTTTTTGGGTTAGTTTTAGAATCCCTAGCAACTTTAATTTCATAGTCCCTTTTAGCTTTTCTTATCCCCTTTTTAATGTCCCTCTTAATGTCAATATACTGATTCATAAGATGTCACTCACCTCTTTTGATACGCCTATAAATTCCTTTCTTATGCCCTAGTAGATATTTCAGCCTATTATTCATCCATTTTGGGTCATTTCTATTTGATCTAATTTCTTTATACGGAATAAACGTTCTTTGAGCCTCATGTAGAGTGTTCAGAAAACTGTCATATTGATAGCTGTCTTCGTTACCCCAGTCAAGAAATGATAAGTGTTCTCTAAGCCCATCGTAATCTGCTACCTGGAGTTTACCTGGAGAGAGTTCCGGGGGTCAACGCCCCCGCGGCCCGGTCTGTGACCAGGCCTCCTGGTGGATCAGAGCCTGATCAACCAGGCTGTTGCTGCTGGCTGCACGCAAACCAACGTACGTGCCACAGCCCGGCTGATCAGGAACCGACTTTAGGTGCTTGTCCAGTGCCAGCTTGAAGACTGCCAGGGGTCTGATGGTAATCCCCCTTATGTATGCTGGGAGGCAGTTGAACAGTCTCGGGCCCCTGACACTTATTGTATGGTCTCTTAACGTGCTAGTGACACCCCTGCTTTTCATTGGGGGGATGTTGCATCGTCTGCCAAGTCTTTTGCTTTCGTTGTGAGTGATTTTCATGTGCAAGTTCGGTACTAGTCCCTCTAGGATTTTCCAGGTGTATATAATCATGTATCTCTCCCGCCTGCGTTCCAGGGAATACAGGTTCAGGAACCTCAAGCGCTCCCAGTAATTGAGGTGTTTTATCTCCGTTATTCGCGCCGTGAAGGTTCTCTGTACATTTTCTAGGTCAGCAATTTCACCTGCCTTGAAAGGTGCTGTTAGTGTGCAGCAATATTCCAGCCTAGATAGAACAAGTGACCTGAAGAGTGTCATCATGGGCTTGGCCTCCCTAGTTTTGAAGGTTCTCATTATCCATCCTGTCATTTTTCTAGCAGATGCAATTGATACAATGTTATGGTCCTTGAAGGTGAGATCCTCCGCGATGATCACTCCCGGGTCTTTGACGTTGGTGTTTCGCTCTATTTTGTGGCCAGAATTTGTTTTGTACTCTGATGAAGATTTAATTTCCTCGTGTTTACCATATCTGAGTAATTGAAATTTCTCATCGTTGAACTTCATATTGTTTTCTGCAGCCCACTGAAAGATTCGGTTGATGTCCGCCTGGAGCCTTGCAGTGTCTGCAATGGAAGACACTGTCATGCAGATTCGGGTGTCATCTGCAAAGGAAGACACGGTGCTGTGGCTGACATCCTTGTCTATGTCGGATATGAGGATGAGGAACAAGATGGGAGCGAGTACTGTGCCTTGTGGAACAGAGCTTTTCACCGTAGCTGCCTCGGACTTTACTCTGTTGACGACTACTCTCTGTGTTCTGTTAGTGAGGAAATTATAGATCCATCGACCGACTTTTCCTGTTATCCCTTTAGCACCTTTTTGTGCGCTATTACGCCATGGTCACACTTGTCAAAGGCTTTTGCAAGTCTGTATATATTACATCTGCATTCTTTTTATCTTCTAGTGCATTTAGGACCTTGTCGTAGTGATCCAATAGTTGAGACAGACAGGAGCGACCTGTTCTAAACCCTTTGTTGCCCTGGGTTGTGTAACTGATGGGTTTCTAGATGGGTGGTGATTCTTGCTTCTTAGGACCCTTTCAAAGTTTTTTTATGATATGGGATGTTAGTGATATCGGTCTGTAGTTCTTTGCTGTTGCTTTTACTGCCCCCCTTTGTGGAGTGGGGCTATGTCTGTTGTTTTTTAGTAACTGTGGGACGACCCCCGTGTCCATGCTCCCTCTCCATAGGATGAAAAGGCTCGTGATAGGGGCTTCTTGCAGTTTTTGATGAACACGGAGTTCCATGAGTCTGGCCCTGGGGCAGAGTGCATGGGCATGTCATTTATCGCCTGTTCGAAGTCGTTTGGCGTCAGGATAATTCGGATAGGCTTATGTTAACCAAATTTTGTGGCTCTCTCATAAAAAATTCGTTTTGATCTTCGACTCTCAGTCTGGTTAGCGGCTTGCTAAAAAACTGAGTATATTGGGACTTGAGTAGCTCACTCATTTCCTTGCTGCATCTGTGTATGACCCATCTTGTTTAAGTAGGGGCCCAATACTGGATGTTGTTCTCGACTTTGATTTGGCATAGGAGAAGAAATACTTTGGGTTTCTTTCGATTTCATTTATGGCTTTTAGTTCTTCCCGCGATTCCTGACTCCTATAAAGATTCCTTTAGCTTGAGTTCGTTGCTTGCTAATTCTCTGACCAGTGTCTCCCTACGCATTTCAGATATATTGACCTCTTTTAGCCGCTCTGTTATTCTTTTCCGTCGCCTGTAAAGGGAGCGCCTGTCTCTTTCTATTTTACATCTATCCTCCTTTTTTCTTAGAGGAATAAGCCTTGTGCATACATCGAGTGCCACCAAGTTAAATCTTGTTCTAGGGTACGTTGGAGTCTGTGTTGCTTAGTATATCTTCCCAGCTTATATCGGTTAGGACTTGGGTTTTTCTTGGTCCCACTTTATGTTTTTGTTATTGAAGTTGAATTTGGTGAATGCTCCCTCGTGACTAGTCTCATTATGTCGGTCTGGGGCTCCACGCATAATGTCTGAACCTCAATTTTGTTGTGATCTGAGTATATTGTTTTTGATATGGTGACATTTCTTATCAGATCATCTTGTTAGTGAAGATGAGGTCTAGTGTATTCTCCAGTCTAGTAGGCTCTATTATTTGTTGGTTTAAATTGAATTTTGTGCAGAGATTTAAAAGCTCGTGTGAGTGTGAGTTTTCTCAGAGCTGCCTCCTGGTGTTATTACTGCAACAATATTATTTGCTATATTCCTCCATTTTAGGTGCCTTAAGTTCAAATCCCCCAGGAGCAAGATGTTGGGTGCAGGAGCTGGAAGATTTTCCAGACAGTGGTCAATTTTTAACAGCTGTTCCTGGAATTGCTGGGATGTTGCATCCGGAGGCTTGTAGACTACCACAATGACTAGGTTTTGGTTCTCGACCTTTACTGCTAAAACTTCCACTACATCATTTGAGGCATTTAGCAGTTCTGTGCAAACAAGTGACTCTGCAATGTACAGGCCAACCCCCCCCTTTTGCCTGTTCACTCTGTCACATCTGTATAGGTTGTAACCTGGGATCCATATTTCGTTGTCCAAGTGATCCTTTATGTGGGTCTCAGTGAAAGCCGCGAACATTGCCTTTGCCTCTGCAAGCAGTCCACAGATGAAAAGTATTTTGTTGTTTGTTGCTGGCTTTAGACCCTGTATATTTGCAAAGAAGAATGTCATCGGACTGGTGGTATTGTTGGTACTGGGGGGGGGGATTTTTTTTTCCGGCATTAGTATCTGTATCTGTTGGTTTGGAGTGGAGGCCATCGACTGTGGTTCCACTCCAGGAATGACTGGATTTGGTGTACGATTTCTGCCATTTCCTGCCAGTTTTTTCTCCTTCCTGGCACTAAAAAACCTCTCCCTCTTGAGTGGCTGTGGCTACCCAGGTTTTCCCATGGCCTGGATGTTTTGTATCTTTTTGTACCCTTTAGATGGTATGCCTGGCAATTTAAGTTATAGCACAGTCTTTTCTGTACTGAAGAGGTACACATTTCAGGGTGAAAAAGCTTACAGGAAGGGAGTTTGCATTTCCTGTTGTCATATGGCATGGCATTTTCTAGGGTGGTCATAGTTGCACGTCCCGTCTGTTTTTCCAGATTTTCCATGTCTGCAGATACCAAGTGCATAGCATGTGCACAGGCTTGGTTTCCGTTTGCCTTGGGTTTCTGTGACTGTATTCCCTGTTGGTGCATGTTTCCCTGTCTTATTCCTATCCTCTCTAACACCAACAATGGAGCTCCCACCAGTTGTTTTTGGTAATATATCCTCACTATAGCTAGTGGAATCCTCTTGTTTGCTATTTCCTGTGGTATTTCTAGTTTGCAATATTGGTTTTATCTTATCTTTGACTACACTTGTTTCCCCACTACGGCTCCTGTCCCCTATGAGGTCATTTATATGTATTCCTTCCTGCGTATAATTCCCGACTACCTGGACAAAATCTCCAGCTTCACCATTACTGTCTCCCAGGACAGCACCTCCAGCTTCACCATTACTGTCTCCCAGGACAGCACCTCCAGCTTCACCATTACTGTCTCCCAGGACAGTACCTCCAGCTTCACCATTACTGTCTCCCAGGACAGCACCTCCAGCTTCACCATTACTGTCTCCCAGGACAGCACCTCCAGCTTCACCATTACTGTCTCCCAGGACAGCACCTCCAGCTTCACCATTACTGTCTCCCAGGACAGCACTATCAGCCCCACATTTACTGACTACCAGGACATCACCTCCAGCCTTACAGTTTCTGACTACATGGCCAGTATCAAGGGCAGTACCATTCAGCCCAGACTTTTTATGTTCCCATCTGTTGTAGAAAGCTTCCAGGTTGTCTATGAAAGCAGCTTTGACGTTATCCTCTTTTAATACCCTTGTGATTTTAGTCCACAGATTTTCCTCATTTGGGCATACCCAAAAACACTTCCCTGTTTTAATACTGCTTGTAGCTAGTTCTTGGATATCTGCACAAGGGGCGTGACACCAATTTCCACAAAAATGACAATTTATCCATTTGGAAGCCCGTTTGTTTGATTGACTGCAGACTATACAGAGCTTCATAATGATTTGAGTGGTTGATTTACTGTAATTCTACTAGCAACCTCTTGAATACTCTATTAATAACCTCCTTAAATGAAGCTCTAGCTATTTGTATTTCTATTTCTAACTAATTGGACAGCTTACCGTGTACGTTCCTGATTTGTATTTATTGTTTGTGTTGTGTCTGGGACTGTTACTGAGTTATCCCTACTATCATACTTCCATTCAATGCTAAATGTAATTGATTTGTGGTCACTAGCACCCAGTTCCTCTGAAACTTCTAAATTATTAACAAGGGATTCATTGTTTGCCAGAACTAAGTCAAGCAGGTTATTACCCCTTGTACGTTCTGTCACAAACTGCTTCAAAAAACAATCCTGAACTACTTCTAAGAAGTCGTATGATTCTAAATTCCCAGTCAAGAAATTCCAATCAATATGACTAAAGTTAAAGTCTCCTAGAATTACTACATTATCGTGCCTTGTGGCCCTAACAATTTCCTCCCATAGTAGTCTCCCCTGGTCCCTATCTAAGTTTGGGGGACGGTATATCACACCTAAAATTAATTTTTCATGCCCCTCTGAAAATTCTATCCAAACAGACTCTGTATGTGTTACTTCAGACTTAATACCCGTTTTTATGCAACAGTTCATTTGCAAGTCTCACTCAAATCCAACCCCTCCCACTCATGTACTTGTCCAACCTAAATTTGAAACTACCCAGAGTCCTAGCCTCAATAACCCAACTAGGTAGACTGTTCCACTCATCAACTACCCTATTTCCAAACCAATGCTTTCCTATGTCCTTTCTGAATCTAAACTTGTCTAATTTATATCCATTACTGCGGGTTCTCTCCTGGAGAGATGTTCTCAAGACCTTATTAATATCCCTTTTATTAATACCCATCTTCCACTTATACATTTCGATCATGTCTCCCCTCATTCTTCGTCTAACAAGTGAATGTAATTTAAGAGTCTTCAATCTTTCTTCATAAGGAAGATTTCTAATGCTGCATAATCAAGGTGAGGCCTTACTAATGATGTATAAAGCTGCAGTATAAAGTCTGGACTTCTGTTGCTTACACTTTTTGATATAAATCCCAATAATCTATTTGCCTTATTATGTACGCTTAGGCACTGCTGTCTTGGTTTAAGCATGCTGCTCACCATAACCCCCAAGTCCTTTTCGCAATCTGTATAGCTAAGTTCAACATTATTTAACTTATAAGTGCTAGGGTTATGGACACTCCCGAGCTTCAGAACCTTGCATTTATCTACATTGAACTGCATCTGCCACTTTTCTGACCAAGAATAGAGTTTGTCTAAATCCTCATGAAGTTCCCTAACATCTACGTTTGAATCAATTATCCTACCTATCTTTGTGTCATCGGCGAATTTGCTCATATCACTAGTAATACCCTCATCAAGGTCATTGATATATATTATAAACAACAACGGGCCCAAGACTGATCCCTGTGGAACCCCACTTGTTACAGATCCCCACTCGGATTTAACCCCATTTATGGACACTCTCTGCTTCCTGTTTGTGAGCCATGACTCGATCCACGAAAGCACTTTTCCCCCAATGCCATGAGCTGCCACTTTCTTTAACAGTCTTTGGTGCGGAACTCTATCAAAAGCCTTACTAAAATCTAAATAAATAATATCAATATCTTTATCGTGATCAACAGCCTCAAAAGCTTTACTGAATAAAGTTAATAAATTAGTTAGACAAAACCGGCCTCTCGTGAATCCATGCTGAGTATCATTAATCAAGCTATGCTTATCAAGATGGCTTTTTATAAACTCGGCTATAATTGACTAGTAATTTTCCTACAATTGAGGTCAGGCTTATTGGGCGGTAATTTGACGGTAACGACTTGTCCCCTGCTTTAAAAATAGGAATTACATTAGCCATCTTCCACATATTAGACACTACACCTGTTTAAAGAGATAAATTAAAAATATTAGTTAATGGTTCACAGAGTTCCATTTTTGCATTCCTTAAGAACCCTTGAAAAAACCTCATCAGGACCCGGCGACTTATTTTGCTTCAGTCGGTCTATCTGCTTCACAACCATTTCACTAGTGACTGTGATGTTGCATAATTTATCTTCTTCTGGCCCACTAAAAAAATTAATGATTGGAATATTGTTAGTGTCTTCCTGTGTAAAAACCGAGAGAAAATATTTTTATTATCACACCGGCCGATTCCCACCAAGGCAGGGTGGCCCGAAAAAGAAAAACTTTCACCATCATTCACTCCATCACTGTCTTGCCAGAAGGGTGCTTTACACTACAGTCTTTAAACTGCAACATTAACACCCCTCCTTCAGAGTGCAGGCACTGTACTTCCCATCTCCAGGACTCAAGTCCGGCCTGCCGGTTTCCCTGAATCCCTTCATAAATGTTACTTTGCTCACACTCCAACAGCACGTCAAGTATTAAAAACCATTTGTCTCCATTCACTCCTATCAAACACGCTCACGCATGCCTGCTGGAAGTCCAAGCCCCTCGCACACAAAACCTCCTTTACCCCCTCCCTCCAACCCTTCCTAGGCCGACCCTACCCCGCCTTCCTTCCACTACAGACTGATACACTCTTGAAGTCATTCTGTTTCGCTCCATTCTCTCTACATGTCCGAACCACCTCAACAACCCTTCCTCAGCCCTCTGGACAACAGTTTTGGTAATCCCGCACCTCCTCCTAACTTCCAAACTACGAATTCTCTGCATTATATTCACACCACACACTGCCCTCAGACATGACATCTCCACTGCCTCCAGCCTTCTCCTCGCTGCAACATTCATCACCCACGCTTCACACCCATATAAGAGCGTTGGTAAAACTATACTCTCATACATTCCCCTCTTTGCCTCCAAGGACAAAGTTCTTTGTTTCCACAGACTCCTAAGTGCACCACTCACTCTTTTTCCCTCATCAATTCTATGATTCACCTCATCTTTCATAGACCCATCCGCTGACACGTCCACTCCCAAATATCTGAATACGTTCACCTCCTCCATACTCTCTCCCTCCAATCTGATATTCAATCTTTCATCACCTAATCTTTTTGTTATCCTCATAACCTTACTCTTTCCTGTATTCACCTTTAATTTTCTTCTTTTGCACACCCTACCAAATTCATCCACCAATCTCTGCAACTTCTCTTCAGAATCTCCCAAGAGCACAGTGTCATCAGCAAAGAGCAGCTGTGACAACTCCCACTTTGTGTGTGATTCTTTATCTTTTAACTCCACGCCTCTTGCCAAAACCCTCGCATTTACTTCTCTTACAACCCCATCTATAAATATATTAAACAACCACGGTGACATCACACATCCTTGTCTAAGGCCTACTTTTACTGGGAAAAAATTTCCCTCTTTCCTACATACTCTAACTTGAGCCTCACTATCCTCGTAAAAACTCTTCACTGCTTTCAGTAACCTACCTCCTACACCATACACTTGCAACATCTGCCACATTGCCCCCCTATCCACCCTGTCATACGCCTTTTCCAAATCCATAAATGCCACAAAGACCTCTTTAGCCTTATCTAAATACTGTTCACTTATATGTTTCACTGTAAACACCTGGTCCACACACCCCCTACCTTTCCTAAAGCCTCCTTGTTCATCTGCTATCCTATTCTCCGTCTTACTCTTAATTCTTTCAATTATAACTCTACCATACACTTTACCAGGTACACTCAACAGACTTATCCCCCTATAATTTTTGCACTCTCTTTTATCCCCTTTGCCTTTATACAAAGGAACTATGCATGCTCTCTGCCAATCCCTAGGTACCTTACCCTCTTCCATACATTTATTAAATATGGAAGAGGGTAAGGTACCTAGGGATTGGCAGAGAGCATGCATAGTTCCTTTGTATAAAGGCAAAGGGGATAAAAGAGAGTGCAAAAATTATAGGGGGATAAGTCTGTTGAGTGTACCTGGTAAAGTGTATGGTAGAGTTATAATTGAAAGAATTAAGAGTAAGACATTTCATTCTCTTTGTCAGTAAGATGTCCAAAGTTATTTTTAAGGGGACCTATCTTATCTCTAACTTTTGTTCTAAACACCTGGAAAAAACTTTTTGGGTTAGTTTTAGAATCCCTAGCAACTTTAATTTCATAGCCCCTTTTAGCTTTTCTTATCCCCTTTTTAATATCCCTCTTAATGTCAATATATTGATTCAAAAGATGACCCTCACCTCTTTTGATACGCCTATAAATTCCCTTCTTATGCCCTAGTAGATATTTCAGCCTATTATTCATCCATTTTGAGTCATTTCTATTTAATCTAATTTCTTTATACGGGATAAACGTTCTTTGAGCAGCATGTATAGTGCTCAGAAAACTTTTATATTGATAGCTCTCTTCGTTACCCCAGTCAACAGATGATAAGTGTTCTCTAAGCCGATCGTAATCTGCTAAGCGAAAATCTAGGACTGTTACTGAGTTATCCCTACTATCATACTTCCATTCAATGCTAAATGTAATTGATTTGTGGTCACTAGCACCCAGTTCCTCTGAAATTTCTAAATTATTAACAAGGGATTCATTGTTTGCCAGAACTAAGTCAAGCAGGTTATTTCCCCTTGTAGGTTCTGTCACAAACTGCTTCAAAAAAACAACCATGAACTACTTCTAAGATGTCCTATGATTCTATATTCCCAATCAAGAAATTCCAATCAATATGACTAAAGTTAAAGTCTCTTAGAATTACTACATTATCGTGCCTTGTGGCCTTAACAATTTCCTCCGATAGTAGTTTCCCTTGGTCCCTATCTAAGTTTGGGGGACGGTGTATCACTCCTAAAATCAGTTTTTCATGCCCCTCTAAAAATTCTATCCAAACAGACTCTGCATGTGCTACTTCAGACTTAATACCCGTTTTTATGCAACAGTTCAAGCGATCTCGGACATACAATGCCACCCCACCCCCCTTCCCGATACTTCTATCTACTTGGAACAATTTAAAACCCTGAATGTGACATTCCGCAGGCATGTCCCGACTTTTTGAATTAAACCACGTCTGAGTTATGGCAAATACATCAATGTTTCCTGCACTAGCAACTAATCTCAATTCGACCATCTTATTCCTAGCACTACGGCAATTAGCATAATATACATTGAAAGACTCCTTTTTCTTTACCCTTCCTGCTCGTTTCTGTTTTTTTACTAAACCTATTACTGTCCTTATCACCTAGTGTCACTGGCTTTTCAATATTTACCTCGTTCTGCTTATTACTAGTTCGCCTAGAGCTCATAATATTACTAAACTGGGACTTCACCGTTTTCCTGCCAAAACCCATACCACTAACTATTCCGCATTTTCCTTGCAGTATTTGTTCAGCCAGCAATTGACTCCAATTGCCCTGGACAACAATTCATTTCCAACTCCTCTCCTTGGCAAAATACCACATATGACAGGGTTCCCACCCTCCTATTTTTATTGCTGACCTATACCTGCTAATCAGGTCCTCACTCCTACGTCTGCCAACATCATTGCCTCCAGTAGTGAGACAGATAATAGGATTCCTCCCATTACCTCTCATGATGTCATCCAGACGGCTAACAATATCCTCCATCCCAGCCCCAGGAAAGCAAACTCTGTCTCCTGCTCCTGTCCTTCAAGCAGAACTCCCTATCCATGTATCTAACTTGGCTATCCCCAACAACAACAATATTCTTACCTTCCTTGGTGTCGTTCGTCGTGACGTTCCCAGTAGTTGACTCACATTCGTCGGGTAGCACGGAGAATGCGTTAAATGTTTCCACAAGAGTTTCCACAACAGTCTCTTTCCTCTTCATCGTTTCCACCTTTCCATTCGTCTTCTTGATCGTCAACTTCGTTCCATGCTGTCCAGCCACTGACCAGTTTCCCTTCTTGACTTGACGACTCATAACAGGAGGACTACTACGAATCTTCTTTTCCTCGGTCAGTCGCCGAATCTCCATCTTCACCATCCTCAATTCTTCCTTAAGCTGTTGGTAAAGTTGCTCGATGGAGGGCATCTTGGTTCAGTCCGTAGAGAGCACACTCGACACGTCCTCACTGAGCTAAGTACAGGTGACCTCTCGAATAAGTTAAAAAGAGAAACTTTCATTTTTCTTTTTGGGACACCCTGCCTTTGTGGGATACAGCCGGTGCATTGAAAGATGTATATATAATATATATATATATATATATATATATATATATATATATATATATATATATATATATATATATATATATATATATAAAACATTATATGCAAAGCAACCACTGTGAAAGAATGAAATTCCAAACGCTTTCGTGACTACTCACATTATCAAGGAACAATAAAAGTGATGCATCAAAGTAAGGCATATAAAGGGTCTAGACCACACCTCACCATCACATCCCACAACAAAGCAACACCTGATGCACGACTCATAAGAAAGAGAACACTGCAGAACGAGAACAATGCTGACGGATGTGTCTATAAGATTCCTTGTGAAATTTGCGATAAAGTTTATTACAGTCAAACTGGTAAAAGTCTCGAACTAAGATTAAAACATAAATATAGCATTAGAACTGGACAAGATTCCAATGCTCTATTTATTCATACGAGAGATTTTAACCATCCAATTGATTTTCAAAAAGTTGAGAAAGTTGTATCAAGCAAGTCTATGGTCGACAGGAATATAATCGAATGTTGTTTCATAAAAAGCAGTTTTGACAATAATATGAATATTTCCTTTGGTTTATATAAATTAGATCCATTTATAATTAATAGAATTTGGGAAGAATTTAATAATACACTGGACAAATAATAAATCTTAATTCTTGGGTAGAATAGTTTGTTCGTGGGTTGCGTGAAGGACCTGTCTAGTTGGGCCAGCAGGCCTGCTGCAGTGTTCTCTTTCTTATGAGTCGTGCGTCATGTGTTGCTCTGTTGTGGGATGTGATGGTGAGGTGTGGTCTAGACCCTTTATATGCCTTCCTTTTATGTATTGTTTTTATAGTTCCTTGATAATGTGAGTAATCACGAAAGTGATTGGAATTTTATTATTCTTTCACAGTGGTTGTTTTGCATATTCTGAAATCACCTGTTTACTGTGATCTCATTGCACACACACACACACATATTATATATATATGTCGTGCCGAATAGGCTGAACTTGCGATCTTGGCTTAAATAGCAACGTTCATCTTGCCATATAGGACAAGTGAAAACTTGTGTATGCAATAATTTCACCAAAATCATTCTGAACCTAACGAAAAAAATATATTTCACTGTGTTTGTTTAATATTAAATTACTGTAAACAAATCTAAAATATATTTAGTTGGGCTAGGATAAAATAAATTACTATTGTTATAATAAGGTTAGGTAAGTTTTCTAAGATTCTTTTGGTGCAAAATTATAAATTTTTACATTAACATTAATGAAAAAAATATATCTTTAAATGTATAAGAGAAAATTTTAGAAAGGACTTAATTTTAAATGAGTTCTTGCTAACTGACCAGTTTTACATATTCGGCACGACATTATATATATATATATATATATATATATATATATATATATATATATATATATATATATATATATATATTATATATATATATATATATATATATATACATTCTGCTATTAACTGTATGAATATCATAGTTGCAATGGTAGTTGATATAAATTTATTTTATTTGAGGTATTAATAATTACTTGAGATTAACTCAAAAACTTTCCCACAGATTGGAGCGACAGATCCTGGCACTATTGGCTGGGGGATGTTAGCCTTATTAATTGGAGTCGCCTTCAGAATAGCTACTTCGTTCGTTGTGGTGATGGGCGCTTCCTTGACAGCATGGGAGCGTTTATTCATTGCCATTGCATGGCTTCCCAAGGCTACTGTTCAGGTATGAATATTTAGTAATATTAGTGAGTTGTTGTTTTTGAAGCAGTGTCCTTGTTCAGTGTTCCAGGACTCGGGTTTGATTCTGGGATGAGTGAAAACATTGGACATTTTTGGTTACACTTATTGCCCCTGTTCACCTTCCATTACGTACATACCTGGGTGTTAGTTGACGTAGTGAAGGAGGTGCTTGTTACCAGTCTTAGAAGCACGGTATTATTATTACAATCAAGGGGGAAGCGCTAACCCCATAGGATTATACAGCGTCTGTGGAAGGTATTCAGGTTTAATTCAAGGAACTGGAGCACAGATCCAATACCCTAGATCAAGAGCCCCTCACCAGCATCAAGGAACCTTTAGAAGTAGTTTTACAGGATTTTTAATTGATAACAATCCCTGGAGAACGTAATGTCTTCACAATAAAATGTCATAACACGCATTGTTTTATATATGTACATGAAGATTAGGACAAATGAAGAGCTATGACAGGTTAACAAGGCTGAAAGTGTAAATTTTAAGGTGTAAAAAAAAAGGAAAACAGAAGCTTAAATATTGTATAACATTGTTAGAAACCTTATTAGTGACAGTGTGACACTCTACACTGATTTTGTTTTATCTTCATAATACTTTTGTTAAAAATAATGAAGATAATATACTATTAATATGTTTAATTTTTTTATTAACGTATCGGCCGTTTCCCATCAAGGAAAGGTGACCCGAGAAAGAAGAAGCTCTTTCATAATCATTCACTCCATAACTGTCTTGCCAGAGGCGTGCCCACACTACAGTTAAAAAAACTGCAACATATCATCCCCCCTCCTTCAGAGCGCAGGAACTGTACTTCCCACCTCCAGGACTCGTGCTCAGCTTACCTGTTTCCCTGAATCCCTTCATAAATGATACTTTTCTGTCACTCCAAAAGCGAGGCAAGTCATAGAAACCATTTGACTCCACTCGCTCCTATCTAAAACGTTCATGAACGCTTCCTGGAAGTCCCTTGCACCCAAAACCACCTTTACCCCCTCTATCCCAACTTTCCTAGGCCGATCCCTGCCCCGCCATCCTTCCACTACAGATTTATACGCTCTCCAAGTCATTCTATTTCGTTCCAACCTTTCAAATGTCCGAACTACCTCAACAACCCTTCATCAGCCCTCTCGATAACACATTTAATAACCCTGCACCTCTTCCTACTTTCCAAACTACGGATTCTCTGCATTATATTCACACTGCACATTGCCCTCAGATACATCTCCACTACCTCCAGCCTTCTCCTTGTTCCAACATTCACCACCCTTGCCTCACACCTATATGAGAGAGTTGATATAACTATACTCTCATTTATTCTCCTCTTTGCTTCCTTGGATAATTTTCTTTGACTCCACAGACTTCTCAGTACAAAACTCATATTTTTCTCTCGTCAATTCTATGATTCACCTCGCCTCTCAGAGACCCATCTGCTGCCAAGTCCACTCCCAGATATCTGAATAAATTCACTTCTACCATACTCCCTCTCTCCATCTAATATCCAGTCCTTCACTACCTAAATTTTTGGTTATCCTCGTCACCTTACTCTTTCCTATATTCACTTTTAATTTTCTTCTTTCACGTCCATCAACCTCTGCAACTGTTATCAGCAAAAAGCAGCTGTGACAACTCCCACTTTATATTAGCTTCTTCATCTATCAGTACCTCTTGCCAACACCCAAGCATTCACTTTTCTTACTACCGCATCTATAAATATATTGATCACACATCTTTGTCTAGGATCTACTTATACTTGCAAAAAAATGTCCCTCTCCTATATACTCTAACCGAAGCCTCATTTTCCTCTTAAAAACTTTTCACTGCTCTCATTAACCTACCTTCTATTCCATACATTTGAAACATCCTCCACATTGATCTTCTATACACCCTATCATACGCCTTTTCCAAATAAATGCAACAAAAACGTCTTTACCCTTGCACAAATACTCTTCACCCATATGTAAACACTTGGTCTACACACCTCTTACACTTACTAAAGCCACCCTGTTCATTTGCGATCCTGCTTTCCATTTTTACTTTTAATTCTTTCAATAATAACTCAAACCTACACTTACCAGGTATACTCAACAGGCTTATTTCCCTATAATTTTTACTTTTTGTCCCCTTTGCCTTTATACAAAGAAACTATGTATGCTCTCTGCCAGTCTCTAGGTGCCTTCCCTTCTTCCATACACTTGTTAAATAAGACACCATTTCAAAAGCATATCCTCACTTGCTTTTAACATTTGTGTGCTATACCACATTTTTTTCTGCTCACTGCCTTATGCACCTCCCCCACACTCACAACTGGTTCTTCCACATTCCTTCAACACCTTATAATTCCCTGCAAAATGCACTAAATGCCAGGTTTCTTAAACTCAACATTTAACGGTTCCTCAAAATATTCCCTCCATCTTCCCAGTACCTCTAACACTCCATCTCATAACTCTCAACTTATTAATCTCACTCCGAAACTGTTTTTTTTTTATTCTCGACAAAATTTGTCAATTGCATCTCACCCACACTTTCATTTGCTCTCCTTTTACATTCCTTCACCATTCTCTTCACCTGTCTCTGTCTCTCCATATACTACACCCTCCTTGTATTACTTCTACTCTCTAAAAACCTCTCATATGCTAACTTTCTTTCTCTTTCCCTCATTCCACGAATCGCTCTTCTTCACTCCCACACCCACTTTCCCATAACTACAAACTTCTGCTGAACACTAACATTACATTCTTAAATCTACTCCATACGTCTTCATTGAACATTGACTGAGGTTTATATAGAAAACGGTCTGGTAACAGGTAATATGTATTTTTAGAAAAAAAATATAAATAAGTTTAAAAGATATGATACAAAGCGTAATGACATTAGTTTGCTGAACTATCTATTTGTAGATAAAAGACTGATGGGTAGACATCAGGATGTACATGTTTATAGAGGAGCCACATATATATCTGATCATTTTTAAGTTGTAGCTACAAGGAGAGTAAAAGATAGATGGGATACAAGGAAAACTAAACCAGCAAGTAAGAAAGAGGTGAAAGTTTATAAACTAGAGGAGGAGGCAGATTGACTAAGATATAAACAACTATTGGAAGAAAGAGAGCCTAGTGAGAGTATAGGCAATGATGTTCAAGAGGTGTACGGTAGCTCTAAAAAAAAAAAAAAGAAAGTGTTAGACTATTCAGAATTTTGTAGTTACAGAAAAGTGGGTGCAGGAAGCAAGAAGAGCGGTTGGTAAGGGAGAAAGTTAACACATAAGAACATAAAGAAGGAACAATGCAGGAGGCCTACTGACCCATGCGGAGCAGGTTCATGTCCCCCCCCCCCGGATTAGCCCAATGACCCACCCAGTCTGGTCACCTCCACTCAAGGAAGGAGCACGGCACCTGACCAGCAGCACAGGCTAGTCAGGTCCAATTTACACCCACCCACACCCACTCATGAATTTATCAAACCTATTTTTAAAACTACACAACGTTTTAGCCTCAATAACTGTACTCGAGAGTTTGTTCCACTCATTCACAACTCTGTTACCAAACCAGTGCTTTCCTATATCCTCCCTGAATCTGAATTTTTCTAACTTGAAACCATTGCTGCGAGTCTTTGTCATCCTCCTCTGTACGTTTTCCAGAGCATTTATATCCATTCTGTAATACGGTGACCAGAACTGTGCAGCATAATCTAAATGAGGCCTAACCGAGGATATATAGAGTTGAAGAACAACCTGAGGACTTCTATTATTTATACTTCTAGATATAAAGCCAAGAATTCTGTTAGCTTTATTGCGAACACTAATGCACTGTTGCCTTGGTTTTAGATTACTGCTAACCAGAACACCTAAATCCTTTTCGCAATTAGTAGTATCAATATCTACATTATTTAGTTTATATGTCGCATGGTTATTTTCCTCTCCAACATTTAGAACTTTGCATTTGTCTATATTAAACTGCATCTGCCACTTTTCCGACCATTGCATCAGTCTATTCAAATCATCGTAGAGTGCTCTAGTGTCCTCATTAGAATGAATTGGGCGGATTATTTCGGTGTCACCAGCAAATTTGCTTATGTCGCTATTTATTCCCTCATCTATGTCGTTTATGTAAATTGTGAACAACAACGGGGCCAACACTGACCCCTGTGGAACACCGCTTGTGATGTGCTTCCATTCTGATTTATCCCCATTTATGTAAACACTCTGCTGCCTATTTGTCAGCCATGCCTCTACCCAGGAAAAGATTTCTCCTCCTATTCCGTGTGCCTTAAGTTTCCTCAATAGCCTCTGATGTGGAACTCAATCGAAAGCCTTACTGAAGTCCATATACACAATATCATATTCATTACCAAGATCTACCTCCTCAAACACCTTAGTGAAAAATGTTAGTAAATTCTTAAGACAGGAACGCCCCTTTGTACAACCAAGACTAGGCTCCTGCCTCTCCACCAGCCGGACTCGCTGACGAAAGGAAGCATTGAAAACACGAAACAAATATTGAAGATAAAGACACATGTGCAACAGTTGGGCATCTTAATTCATGAAAGTTTCGCCTACACATAGGCTTCTTTAGTCTAATACAAAAGGAGCAGTTTTAATGAAATAAAGATGATGTAATCAGCCCATCAACCTTGGAGAAAATGTATTTGAGGTGGTCAGTCCCTCAGCCTGGAGAAGAGTTCAGCTCCATGGTCTGGAACGATTTCGTGGTGACCATACAAAATATGATGACCAACACAATATGTGTTAACCAACACAACATGTTACACTAAATCAGCCATAGATAGTAGACAGCCGACAGTGTGTCGTGCCACACACATTCGTGTCTACTCCGCACTTTGCAGTGTCGTTATAGAGAACATCTTTGTGCTAGCAACAAGTGTCCCAGTGATCGTATAGAGTGAAACTCTACACTTCTGTCAACTAATCAAGCAATTACTAGCATTCTGTTAGACAAACAATAGGAAATAATGTAAAGTGAGTGCCAGAGATCTGGGAACATTTGAGAGAGAGAGAGAGAGAGAGAGAGAGAGAGAGAGAGAGAGAGAGAGAGAGAGAGAGAGAGAGAGAGAGAGAGAGAGATAGAGAGATCAGCACTCCTGCCAAAGTGCAAAACATGTACCAGACTTTAAATAAAAAAATAGTAATAAGAGTCCATGTCAAACCCAGAAATTAGAGCTGCCTTTTTGCCTCTTTGCTTCAAATCTCACTGTTTTCACATACCCTAGGTGATGTTCTATAATTTACCAATTGCTATTCGTTATTGAGTACTTGATAGCCTATTCTTCATCGAACTAGGAGAGAGGTCTTTACAAAGTAGAAGTGATAAAAGGAGGGAGGAGTATATGGAAAGAAATAGAGAGATTAAGAGAGTGGTGAAGGAATGTAAAAGGAGAGCAAGTGAGAGTGGGTGAGATGTTATCAACAAATTTTGATGAGAATTTGATAAAGTTTTGAAGTGAGATTAATATACTGAGGAAGCCTAGGGAACGAATGGATTTGACAGTTTAAAATAGGAAAGGAGAATTATTAGTGAAAGAGTTAAAGGGCAGAGATGTATAACATCTTGTAGGAGTGAGGAAGAGCCAATTGTCGGTGGGGGGAAGGTGTGTGAGACAGTGAGTAGAATGAAAGGGGGTAAAACAACTGGTTTTGATGGGATAAAGTCAGAAATGTAAAAAGCAGGTGGGGATATAGTTTTGGAGTGGTTAGTGCTTTTATTTAATAAATGTATGGAAGAGGGTAAGGTACCTAAGGATTGGCAGAAAGGGTGCATAGTTCCTTTGTATAAAGGCAAAGGGGATAAAATAGAGTGCAAAAATTATAGGGTAATGAGTCTGTTGAGTATACTTGGTAAAGTGTATGGTAGAGTTACTATTGAAAGAATAAAGTGTAAGATAGTAGGATCGAAGATGAACAAGGAGGCTGTAGGAAGGGTAGGGGGTGTGTAGACCAAGTGTTTGCAGTGAAACATATAAACAGTATGAATTATGAATTTGGAAAAGGCGTATGATAAGGTGGATAGGGGGCAATGTGGCAGATTTTGCAAATGAAGGTTACTGAAAGAAGTGAAGAGTTTTTACGAGGATAATGAGGCTCAGGTTAGAGTACGTAGGAAAGAGGGAGATTATTTCCCAGTAAAAGTTGGCCTTAGACAAGGATGTGTAATGTCACGAAGGGTGTTCAGTATAAATATATATAGATGGGGTTGTAAGAAAAGTGATTGCTCGGGTGATGGGAAGAGGTGTGGGGTTAAAACAAAAACTCTAACACAGCGTGTGAGTTGTCGCTGTTGCTTTTTTGCCGAACACATTGTACTTCTGGGAGAATCTGAAGATGAGTTGCAGAGGTTGGTGGACGAGTTTGGAAGGGACTGTAAAGTAAGGAAATTAAAAGTGACACTAGGAAAGAGTAAAGTGATAACAAAAAAAATAGGTGATAAATTATTTGAGAGTGGACTTTTCAGCAGATGGGTCTATTAAAAACGAGGTGAATCATAGAAATGATGAGGGAGAAAAACGCGAATGGTGCACTGAGAAGTCTTTGGAGACGAAGAACCTTATCCATGAAAGCAAAGAGGGAAATGTATGAATGTATAGTTATACAAACGCTCTAATATGGGTGTGAGGCATGGGTGGTGAATGTTGTAACAATTAGGCTGGAAGCAGTAGAGATGTGTCTGAGGGCAATGTAGTTTAAGGAGAAATTGCAGGGTTACTAAAAGTAATATCCAGAGGGCTGAGGAGGGGGTGTTTTGGTGGTTTGGACAGTTAGAGAGGGTGGAACGAAACAGAAAGACTTGGAGAGCATATAAATCTGAAGTGGAAGGAAGGCGGAAAAGGGGTCGGTCTAAGAAAGGATGAAGGAAGAGGGTAAAGTAGGCTTTGTGTGTGAGGAGCTAGGACTTCCAGTTAGAGTGAGCAAGTTAGAAGATACTGGGTTCATGGAGGAAAAGTGATACACTTTTCAAGAAATGGGATTCCAGACTCATTGGTACCACCATGGACTCATGAGCAGCCACTTTCATGTTCCAGCACCTCACCTGGACATCCAGAGGGAAAATACTTGCTGGGTACTGGGCTCACGTCAAGCTTCGAAGGAGCTGGAGGAGAATTATAATTTTTGATATATTGATTTACTACACTAGAGGTGTACCCATAATATATATATATATATATATATATATATATATATATATATATAATATATATATATATATATATATCAATGCACCACGCAGAAACAAGCGGGTATATACAGAGAAAGATCGCAGTTAGCAAGATTCGATACTGCTACTGAGAGACGGGCAAGATTCCCAGGCAGCGCTCTTATCCACTGAGCCACAAATGCCTCAAAAAGCTGGACAGCCTGGCTCACAAGCCAGGTTTCTTTCCCTGAATTCTCTCTGAATCCATGCTTGAGGCTCACTGATGTGCCCGGGCTGGGAAAGAAACATATATATCTCCAAGTAAGTCTTGGGATTTTACCTTTAATAGCAACGCATTTCTTGCCAAATAGGGCCAACGAAGATTTGTGTATGCAATAACTTCGCAAAAAAACATTCTGAATCTAACGAAAAAATCTATTTCATTGTGTTTATTATTAAATTATTCGAAACTTACATAAAATATATTTGGTTGGATTAGGCTAAATTTAATTGCGCTTGTTATAATAAGGTTAGGTAAGTTTTCTAAGGTTGTTTTGGTACAAAATTATTAAATTTTACATTAACATAAATGAAAAATAATATATCTTTAAAGGTATAAGCGAAAAGCTTAGATAAGACTTAATTTTAAATGAGTTCTTGCTATCTGACCAGTTTTACACACACACACACACACACACACACACACACACACACACACACAATTCTATATATATATATATATATATATATATATATATATATATATATATATATATATATATATATATATATATATATATATATATATATATAACACTAATCTCTGGCTGAAGGAGACTCGAATCTACGAACCTTGGAACAAGGTACGCAGTGCCATACCAGAGATCAGTGTTTGTGTATAATTCGCCTGCTCTTGCGAATTTCTTGCATTGTTAAAATCTCTAGTAAGGCTGATGCATACAAGGGATGAGATGAAAAGCTGTAAGCCTTCTCCCTGAAAGCTGGCTGCCTTGGATCAACGTCTAGCGCAAGCTGTACGCCAAGGTATTGGTCCAGTGTGGTGAGAATGGTATAGCACTGCGTACCTTGTTCCAAGGTTCGTAGGTTCGGGTCTCCTTCAGCCAGAGATCAGTGTTTGTGTATATTTCGCCTGCTCTTGCGAATTCCTTGCACACACACACACACATATATATATATATATTAATTTCCGGCCAGTCGCAGTATTGTTAATTGAAAACCCTCGTTCGTGGATGCATTAATATCTATACTGCTCGTTAAGACTGGCATTCTAAACGGGAGGACAATGAAATTAGCCCAGCAGCTTCCATTGTCACGTATGTGCTCGTATCAGGAGTGAATTGTCCAGTGGTACTGGTACTGGACACCTGATATTCGAAACATTGATGGCCGAGTGGACTAAGGCATCTCAGAATTTTGACAGGCTTCTTACGAGGCGAGTCTAATTCATCATGTTTTCTTGTCATTATAAATAACTAAAATAATTATTTAGTACATTTCTGCGTTAGGATCTAAAGATTCTTCTGTAGTAATGACTTTTTCTTACTTGAAAACAATTGATCTCATCATTGTATCTTCCGTGGCGGTTGAGGCTATAATATATGGCTTTCTTTACTGTTTTTAGGCTGCCATCGGCTCTCAGGCTCTAGATCACGTGCTGCAGCATGGTGGTGACGATATAGATCATATTCGGGGGCAACAGGTAAACGGATTTTTTTTTTTTCAATTTTACCTTCATACTGGAAGAAGATTTCTTTGTAGTTGAACAAAGAATATAAATTTAATTTGATTTCTTTGCTGTAATACAGAAAAACTTACACTTTCCCAAAAATTATTATATAGAGAACATCACTCAATTTTTAAATTTTCTTTTTCAGGTTGTTACTTTAGCAGTCATGGCTATTTTATTAACTGCGCCTCTTGGGGCGGTAGCGGTCAGGTTCGCAGGTCCGAGGCTTCTTGCGAAATGCCAACCAAAACCTTAGGAAATGGTCCAGAAATTACTGTGTTGAGGAATTAAGGTAGCCAGTATTAGAATACCTATTTGGTATGGCCATTTTTTTCGTATCTCTCGCTGAAAATGTTTATTGCTACTTGTAATAAAGATCTACTTGTAATAAAGTTTGTAGAATTACCGACAATATGTAAAATAAAAGGACACAAGTGCAACTAATGTGAACCATACCCCCGGCCGGGATTGAACCCGCGGTCATAGAGTCTCAAAACTCCAGCCCGTCGCGCTAGGCGGTCATAGAGTCTCAAAACTCCAGCCCGTCGCGCGACGGGCTGGAGTTTTGAGACTCTATGACCGCGGGTTCAATCCCGGCCGGGGGTATGGTTTATTTGCAATCGTGTCATTACGATTTCTTAAGTCAGGCAACTAATGTGACTTTTATTGTGGCAACGTTTCGCTCTCCAGGAGCTTTGTCAAGCCGGCTTGACAAAGCTCCTGGAGAGCGAAACGTTGCCACAATAAAATGTTACATTAGTTGCACTTGTGTCCTTTTACTTTACAATGATGTACTCATCATTTACAAGAATGGAGCAAAAGCCAACTATTTAAATAACATAGACATCCCGTGCTATGATCATTAATACAGTGATTTAGTTGCGTTAACATCAAGTCTGATTTGTATCCTTTCACCAGGTTGATCATTGAGACACGTGTAACAAACAGTAGGTTTCTTCATCCGAATGTATATGAGACAGCAAAAGCAGTAGAATGTGAAGACAATGTAATCAGTCCATCTTTGAAGACGTCATTTTGAGGTGGTCAGTCCCTCAGCCTGGAGAAGAATTTTACTCTATAGTCTGGAACAAAGTGAAGCTGAGGTAACAAGTGGTCATGCCCGACCACTAGTTACGAGTGTGAAAGAAGTTAAGTGGGTTAGTCCCAGAAGGTTTTCTGCACTGCAACTCAGTGACAGTATTCTTACTACTAGTGGGCGCCGTCTCTCCTGTTGTCAACATTATCTACGCCTCACATTGACTATATAAGTCTCCATTCAGTTACTTCAAACTTACATTGTTCCAGATAACCAGCACATAGAATGAAACTTATTACGACGTTTCCGTCCTATTTATACCATTAACTAGTCACACAGAAGTGCGAAGGGAGGGGAGCCAGTATAAATACCAGAGGGACACAGAGCCAAGAGCAGAACAAAAGGAGGTAAAAGAAAAACAAAAATAGTGGTGGTGGTGGTGGTGGTGGTAGCAGTAACAGTAGTAGTAGTAGTGATAGTAGCATTAGTGCTAAGGAAAAAATGGTAGTAGTAATACTAGTGAAGGACAAATTTCACTTCACTCGTGACTTAACCTGATCCTCATCTTCTCCCAAGGTGAGTTCTGTCCTATGAGTTTTTACCTTGTGCTTTTGGTCCCACCCTCGTGAGTTATTGTCTCTCCTTCACTGCTTCTTCTCATTTTCTCTTGTCCTTAAACTACCTTCACTACTGCTACTACTACTATTGCCTATGCTAGTACCACCACCATTACCACAACTACTTCAACCACTGTTTCTACTACCTTGTCTCATTCTTCCGGCACCGCCCACTTGTGTATATACTGGCGTCCTTCCGAGTCAGGCCGAAACGTCGTCGTAAGTTTCATTCCTCTATGTGCGGGTTATTAGTGTATGAAAATAGGTCTAATAGAATTTCCTGGTTTGAGAATTTTAAACTATAAAAGAGAAGAAGTGTCGCTCCTCATTTAAAATTTCGCTTTAAATTCTTGTATTAGCATTAACTTGTTCAGTAAGATATTTAGCAGAACAACACACCATTGTTGATGTTGTTACACTGATGATGTATGAATGTCAACCATAACATTGTTTATACAGGAAACTTAATTAATCTGTGATGTAGTCAGTTCTTTAAAAGATTCGTCTTTATAGCATATAATGTAAATTGTGACTTTTTTACTAGATGAAACATTTACCTGTCACATTAATATATATATATATATATATATATATATATATATATATATATATATATATATATATATATATATATATATATATATTTTTTCAACAAGTCGGCCGTCTCCTACCGAGGCAGGGTGACCCAAAAAGAAAGAAAATCCCCAAAAAGAAAATACTTTCTTCATTCAACACTTTCACCTCACTCACACATAATCACTGTTTTTGCAGAGGTGCTCAGAACACAACAGTTTAGAAGCATATACGTATAAAGATACACATCACTCCAAACTGCTAATATCCCAAAACCCCTCCTTTAGAGTGCAGGCATTGTACTTCCCATTTCCAGGACTCAAGTCCGGCTATATAAAAATAACCGGTTTCCCTGAATTCCTTCACTAAATATTACCCTGCTCACACTCCAACAGATCGTCAGGTCCCAAATACCATTCGTCTCCATTAACTCCTATCGAACACGCTCATGCACGCCTGCTGGAAGTCCAAGCCTCTCGCCCACAAAACCTCCCTTACCCCTTCCTTGCAACCTTTTCGAGGACGACCCCTACCCCGTCTTCCTTCTCCTACAGATTTAAATGCTCTCCATGTCATTCTACTTTGATCCATTCTCTCTAAATGACCAAACCACCTCAACAACCCCTCTTCAGCCCTCTAATACTTTTATTAACTCCACACCTTCTCCTAATTTCCACACTCCGAATTTTCTGCATAATATTTACACCACACATTGCCCTTAGACAGGACATCTCCACTGCCTCCAACCGCCTCCTCGCTGCTGCATTCACAACCCAAGCTTCATACCCATATAAGAGTGTTGGTACTACTATACTTTCATACATTCCCTTCTTTGCCTCCATAGATAACGTTTTTTGACTCCACATATACCTCAACGCACCACTCACCTTTTTTCCTTCATCATTTCTATGATTAACCTCATCCTTCATAAATCCATTCGCCGACACGTCAACTCCCATACTCCTCCTCCCCAATTTGATATCCAATTTTTCTTTATCTAAATCATTTGATACCCTCATCACTTTACTCTTTTCTATGTTCACTTTCAACTTTCTACCTTTACACACACTCCCAAACTCATCCACTAACCTTAGCAATTTTTCTTTAGAATCTCCCATAAGCACAGTATCATCAGCAAAAAATAACTCAATTCCCATTTTGTATTTGATTCCCCATAATTTAATCCCACCCCTCTCCCGAACACCCTAGCATTTACTACTTTTACGACCCCATCTATAAATATATTAAACAACCATGGTGACATTACACATCCCTGTCTAAGACCACTTTTACCGGGAAGTAGTCTCCCTCTCTTCTACATCCCCTAACCTGAGCTTCACTATCCTCATAAAAGCTCTTTACAGCATTTAGTAACTTACCACCTATTCCATATACTTGCAACATCTGCCACATTGCTCCTCTATCCACTATCATATGCCTTTTCTAAATCCATAAATGCAATAAAAACTTCCCTACCTTTATCTAAATGCTGTTCACATATATGCTTCAATGTAAACACTTGATCTACACATCCCCTACCCACTCTAAAACCTCCTTGCTCATCCGCAATCCTACATTCTGTCTTACCTCTAATTCTTTCAATAATAACCCTACCGTACACTTTTCCTGGTATACTCAATAAACTTATTCCTCTATAATTTTTACAATCTCTTTTGTCCCCCTTCCCTTTATATAAAAGGACTATACATGCTCTCTGCCAATCCCTAGGTACCTTCCCCTCTTCCATACATTTATTAAACAAAAGTACCAACCACTCCAACACTATCCCCTCCTGGAGGCTTTATAACATTTCTGTCATGATCCCATCAGTTCCAGCTGCTTTACCCCCTTTCATTCTGTAATGCCTCACGTACCTCCCCCGCACTTACATTCTGTTCTTCACTCCTAAAAGATGGTATACCTCCCTGGCCAGTGCATAAAATTACCGCCTCCCTTTCTTCCTCAATATTTAAAAGTTCCTCAAAATACTCTCGCCATCTACCTAATACCTCCCTCTCCCCATCTACTAACTCCCCTACTCTGTTTTTAACTGACAAATCCATACTTTCCCTAGGCTTTCTTAACTTGTTTAACTCACTCCAAAATTTCTTCTTATTTTCATTAAAATTTCTTGACAGTGCCTCTCCCACTCTATCAACTGCTCTCCTTTTGCACTCTCTCACCACTCTCTTTACCTTTCTTTTACTCTCCATATACTCTGCTGTTCTTATAACACTTCTGCTTTGTAAAAACCTCTGATAAGCTAACTTTTTCTCTTTTATTACACCCTTTACTTCATCATTCCACCAATCACTCTTCTTTCCCCCTGCCCCCACCCTCCTATAACCACAAACTTCTGCCCCTCATTCTAATACTGCATTTTTAAAACTCATCCAACCCTCTTCAACCCCCTCACTACTCATCTTTGCACTAGCCCACCTTTCTGCCAATAGTCGCTTATATCTCACCCGAACTTCCTCCTCCCTTAGTTTATACACTTTCACTTCCCTCCTACTTCTTGTTGCCACCTTCCTCTTGTCCCATCTACCTCTTAGAACATAAGAACATAAGAAAGAAGGAACACTGCAACAGGCCTACTGACCCATGCAGAGCAGGTCCATGTCCCCCCCGGATTAGACCAATGACCCACCACCCAGATTAGCCCAATGACCCACCCGGTCTGAGCCCAATGATCCACCCGGTCTGCCCAATGACCCACCTGGTCTGCCCAATGACCCACCCGGTCTGCCCAATGACCCACCCGGTCTTACTCTAACTGTAGCTATAACTAAATAATGATCCGATATATCAGTTGCCCCTCTATAAACATGTACATCCTGGAGCCTACCCATCAACCTTTTATCCACCAATACATAATCCAACAAACTACTTTCATTACGTGCTACATCATACCTTGTATATTTATCCTCTTTTTCATAAAATATGTACAGTGGTCCCTCAATAATCGACCGGCCTGAAAGTCGACCATTTCGGAAATCAACCAGTTTTTTCGACAAAATATTGACTAGGAAATTGACCGAAATTCGTTTATCGACCCGTCTCAACCCGTCGTCCCAGATGCGTATGCACGAGGTAAGCGGGCCTCGACCCGCCTCAGCCTTCCTTCCCAGCCAGTGTGCCATTGTTTACCAGTTAGCGGCGGTCCTCTCACGTGCTCCAGTGAAATATTTCATAATATTTCATTTATTTTAGTGCTTGCAAGTTATTTAAGTGCTAAATAAGCTACCATGGCTCCAAAGAAATTGTGGCCAGATTGTGTCGACAAGAGGGATTTGGAAGGGTTTGGGGCTGACCCTGATGAGCCTATGTCAGTTTTGAACTCTATTGTGGCACTGGGGAGTTCCATGGGGTTGGATGTGAGTTTGGAGGATGTGAAAGAGTTGGTGGAGAACCACAACGAAGAGCTAACCACTGAGGAGCTGCAAGAGCTTCAGCAGGAAGAGCAACAGATCGCAGCTCAGAATCTTGCTGCAGAGGAGGAGGAAGAGAGATGGAAGAAGGTGCCTTCTTCAGAAATTAAGGAGATTTTTACTATGTGGGGTAAGATGGAAAGATTTATGGAGAAACATCACCCAGAGAAGGATGTTGCAAGCCATATCGGCAACTTGTACAGTGACAGAGCCTTGGCCCATTTTAGGGAAGTTTTAAAGAGACGCCAGAAACAGAGCTCTCTGCACAGTTATTTTGCGAGACAGGACTCCAGTGACTCTCAAGCTGGTCCTAGTGGCATTAAGAAACAGAGAAAAGAAGCAACCCCAGAAAAGCAAATGGTACCTGAGGTGTTGCTGGAAGGGGATTCCCCTTCCAAACTATAAACAATCCACTCTCTCCTCCTCCTCCAGTCTCCCATACACTAAGAAGAATCTCCAATAAAGGTAAGTGTTATGCTGTTAATGTTTCATTCATCATTTCCCATTGTATTGTTTATGTACTACATGAATATTTCATGTAAAAAATTTTTTTGTTTTAATACTTCTGGGTGTCAGGAACGGATTAATTGAATTTACATTATTTCTTATGGGGAAAATTGATTCGTAAATCGACCATTTCGATAATCGACCGGCTTCCAGGAACGGATTACCGTCGATAATCGAGGGACCACTGTATTACTTATTACTAAATCTCTTTCTACACATAGCTCAATTAAAGGCTCCACATTTACATTTACCCCTGGCACCCCAAATTTACCTACTACTCCCTCAACAACATTTTTACCCACTTTATCATTAAAATCCCCATCCACAAGTACTCTCACACTTGGTTCAAAACTCCGCACGCATTCACTCAACATTTCCCAAAATCTCTCTCTCTCCTCTACACTTCTCTCTTCTCCAGGTGCATATACACTTACTATAACCCACTTTTCACATCCAACCTTTATTTTACTCCACATAATCCTTGAATTAATACATTTATAGTCCCTCTTTTCCTGCCATTATATAATATATATATATATATATATATATATATATATATATATATATATATATATATATATATATAAACTTTACAGTGCATCTTGACACAATAAACAAATAAAAATTTTGAGGATATTAAAATTTTGGTTTATCAGTGATTAACTGCGCCTTCTCGAGTCATTTAGTTAATTGTGCTACCTCTTGTTCCGTGGCCAAGCACTTGCTATGTAGTAGAGAGAAAAGTATGTTGTACTTTGCTGCCTTTGCTATATTTCTGTCCGTTGTATTTATTTGTTAAGGTTTTCTTATATCAGGCGAGATACATAATTAGAGTTCGTCTTTTTGACTACAGAAGGTAAATGTTCATCTACCATTATGATAATTTATTTCTGGATCCAAATGGATCCATTGGTATCTGTGTTAATGGATCCACTTGCACTCGGCATGGTTAGCTCCATTGAATTAATGTATATATACACGTAATTGTACATAAGTAGGAGTATTATGTAGATATATGTGTAACGATCTTACAGATATTGTATTATATTAT